ATATATATATATATAGCAGAAACCTGTGAAGAAATATATCATATGCAAAGGCTATGTATAAAACTGCAAGGTAGTGATATAGACACTGTAATAGACACACAAAATATATAGATGCTATTACAGTGGTACCTCCATTCATGAATTTAATTTGTTTCATGATTCTGGAAAAGATGGCCATGTTTGTGTTCATCAGGAAAGATGGCTGATGACTATGTTTCTCACCCCATGCAGAATTCACAAACAAAAACAAAATTTTGCCAAATACTTTTGTTTGTGAACCAAATTGTTCTCAAACAAAAGTGTTCATGAACCAAGGTACCACTGTACAGATTATCTATTCACCTACTAGTCATTCATTCATACGTTCATTCAATGAACATTTACTGAGTATCTACTAAGTGTGAACCCTGACCTGGGCTCAGGCAATACAAAGCTCTTACTTCTGTAGAGCTGACATTTCTGCAGTGATCTAGTCTACCAGTACTGGTGGTGTCTGGCACCAGACACCAATATCTGTCTGGGGATGGAGTGAATGGTGTTATTGCATGGCTATTAGTGGTGAAAGAAAGACGGGGTACTATACGCTCACCGATGCATACATAATATGTATCATGCACACAGACAAAAGCAACAGCATACAGTGAGTAAGTAAAATGTGTAGGTGCTGGACTCCCCAGCATCACTTGAGAGAATCATGAGGTTTATTAACTTCCAGGCTGCTCCCCCAGAAGCACATGCATAGAGTCGGCCATGTGGGAAGCACCTCATGCTATAATTAATGGTTGCAATTAAAATCATCTCCTCTTGTGATGTTCAATTAGAAGCTAGTATTTAAAACTGTTGTTTGCTTTTTGTTTTCTCTGCCCAGTGCATCTCAACCTTCAGAGGTCCTTCTCTTGCCTGCAAATGCACAGGACTCTCACACATAGTTTTCTTCCTCCGGAGGTTGCCTCCCTAGGCTCCCAAAGTGAATTTCACCTGTGCCACACAGTTCACACTAGAGATCAGACATCTCAAAACACCCACACAACTCGATGAAAATTCATTTTATTTTCTTCTGATTCATAAAGACAGACAGGGGTCTC